CCCTATAGTGAAAAAAAAAAAAAACCCCTCTCAAAAAAAAAAAAAAATCAAAGGGACAAGGAAAGGTTTTAAGTAGTTTTCCTTTCATAATTTCACTGCATAACTGGAGAAAACATTACTTCTTTTTTTAAAAGAATTATTCAGTATTATTTATCTTTTTTTTTAAATTATTTTAATTGGCTTTAAGGCATGTATGCTCAAGAAAGAGAAAGTGAGAAAGTAAGCTACCAGGTCTGAGACTAGAACTGAAGTTGACCATGTGGGAGTCCAGTGCCTCAACCACCATGCCATCTGCTGGCCCCCAGATAAAATATTATTTCTTACCAAACTAAGCAGCTGAGTTCTTCATTAAAAAAGCCAAATGTCTTAAGGTTTTGAGTCCAGGGCCAGCAGGTGGCATTGTGGTTAAAGTGCTGGACACCTAAATGGCTAACCATGGTTCAGGTCTCACACCTGGTGGCTTACTTTCTCACCCTCTCTCTCCCCTCACTCTATCTCTCTGTGATGATTGCACATGTCCTATTGCATATTAATAATATAATAAATAAAAGGAAGACAAATTTTTTGAGAGAGATTTTTGTTACAGGGTGCGTGTGCTCACCAGAGAGAGAGAAACAGAGAAACAGAAAGTGAGACATCACCCTCAGCGGGGATGGCCATGCCACAATCCCTCCTCCTCCATTCACCTCTCGGGATTTTGGTCACGCGTGCACATGTGCCCAGTGTGTTTCAAGTCGCTTCATCCAGAACTAAGACCGAGACTGACTGCATGGGAGTCCAGCAATGTAACCATTTTGCCATCTGCTGGTCTAATAATCAGTTCTTAAAAAGCAAAATATTTTGAATTTGTATCTATATAGAATAGAGAACAGATAACAATAGGCCCTACTACTGATCCTTGGAATCCTCAGACAACCAAGGTTCCCTGTTAAAATGCCCTTTATTTTCTTGCATTTCTCATGCATTTCCCTGTCCATAAGATAGGTCAAGTAAAGATGTGCTTGTGTAGCCTCAGATTCTCATTCATAGACAAAGTCTTCACCAGAAAAAGAATTTGGTGTGAGAACTAAAACAGAAACATCTAATTTTGAGCATGTATGTCCACACAACACAGTCACTTTGAATGTTTATTTTCTGAGGGACATAGGCTCCTAGGGGACCATCTTGGTGAGTGTAGGTGTTTGGTTTCAGATATCTTTTACAATAAGAGTCTTGATGATTGGAAAGTATATGATTTATTTTATTGTTGAGGTTGAGTGGAGAAATCTTTAATATAGATTTTCTATCAAGAGGATAGTGCAGAGTAGGCTAGCTCAGTGAACTTTAAATGTATATATAACTAAGGGTGTATATATAGCTAAGGGTGCTGAACTTCACATGGCTGACCACGGTTGTTCAAGTCCTGGACCTGGCAGCTTGCTTTCTCACTTTCTCACTTTCTCTCTCTCTCTCTCTTTCTCTCTCACTCACTCATATTCTGTCCCTCACTGGTCAAATTAAAAATAAAGTTAAATAAAATAATTCTTTAAAAAAACAAACAAACAAAAACCTCATTTTGGGTATGTGTGCATGTATTCCCAAGATCCTGAGAGGAGACTGGAGAAGAGATTGCAGTGTGACCATCCTTCCTGGCAGGTAATTTCTCACTTTTTGTCTCTGTCTCTCCAGCAAGTGCACATGCTCTATAGCAAAACCCTCTAAAAAAATTACACACACACACACACACACACATAAAATCTGTGATTCTTCTTTTTTTGGCTATAGGGTTGTGTGTGCTTACCAGTTAGAGACAAAGAGAGAAAAAGTGGGAAATCACCCACCAGGGATGGCCATACCACAATTCCTTCTTCTCATTCTCTTCTCAGGATTTTGAACACACACACACACACACACACACACACACACACACACACCCTGTATGCTTTTCAAGTTGTAAGGTCCAGGACTCAAACTGTGATTGGCTATGTGAGAAACTAGCACCTTAGCCACCATGCCACCTGCAGGCTCCTGGGATTCTTCTCTTATTTTTTTAATAGATGTATGTATGTATATATTTAAGAGAGAGGTTTTTGCTACAGGGCGCGTATGTCTGCCAGAGAGAGACAGAAAGCAAGAAACCACCTCCCAAGGGGAATGGCCATGCTGCATTCCCTTCTCTTCCAGTCTCCTCTCAGGAATTTGGGCACACATACACACGCACCCAATGTGATTTTTTTTTTCTTTTTTTTTTTTGAGAGGTTTTTGCTATAGGGTGAGTGCACTCGCCAGAGAGAGATAGCAAGAAATTGCCCCCTAGGGGGGATGACCATGCCACAATCCCTTCTCCTCCATTCTCCTCTCAGGATCTTGGACACGCACACACACGCGCCCGGTGTGAGTTTAAGCCTCCAGGTCTGGGACTTGAACCATGGTCAACTACATGGGAGTCCAGCAACATAGCCATTACGCTAACTGCTGGTCTCCCCAGTGTGAATTTTAAACCCCTGGGTCCAGGACTTAAACTGCAGTCAACTACGTAAGAGTCCAGTGGCATACCCATTATGCCATCTGCTGGTTCCTATTTAATTTTATTTATTTATTATTATTATTTTAATTTGCTATGGGACACATGTGCTCATGGGGTGGGGTGTGGAGTGTGAAAAAGCAAGCTGCCAGTTCTATGACTCAAATATGGTCAGCAATGTGGGAGTCAGCACCATAGCCACCACACCACCTGTTGGCCTCTGGGATGATGACTCTTTTTTATGGAATTATTTATTTTATTCATTTTTGCTTTTGTAAAAATTTTGTATACGGTACATGCACTCACCAGAGAAAGAAGGTGGGAAGGAGTGAGAAAGCAAGTCACCAACTCCAGGACTTGAACCCTGGATGGCAATGTGGGAGTCCAATGCCTTGACCACCATGTCACCTGCTGACCTTCTACTGTGATTCTTCCTAATACCTTTACCACCCACCCTGTTTCCTTATGGACTATTTAAGAGACTTTATCCTGATCTTACCTGTGCTTTTCTTTCCATAGGATGGATAGAATGACAGAAGATGCTCTTCGTCTGAATCTGTTGAAGCGGAGCTTGGACCCAGCAGATGAACGAGATGATGTCCTGGCAAAGCGACTGAAAATGGAGGGGCATGAAGCCATGGAACGTCTGAAAATGTTGGCACTGCTGAAAAGGAAGGATTTGGCAAATCTTGAGGTGCCACATGAGTTACCTACCAAACAGGATGGCAGTGGTGTCAAGGGCTATGAAGAGAAACTCAATGGAAATCTCAGGCCTCATGGAGACAACAGGACTACTGGAAGACCAGGCAAAGAAAACATCAATGATGAGCCTGTGGATATGAGTGCTAGACGGAGGTATGGGTCAGTTCAGCTGCCTCCACAGATAGGGTCTTCTCATAAACTAAGCTGGTGACAATGGAATGAATTCCAATAAGAGGAAGGTGTTTTTAAGACTTTTTGAAAGAAGATGTATCTTACCATCTGACTTGACCATGAATTCTTACTTGCTGCATCTGTATGCCTCAGAAAATACTTAATTAGCACATAGAGCATCATAGTTCTTACCCTTTAGATGAAATGGTCATTTTTGGTTAAAGGGGGCACTAGAGAGCTGAGAGCCCAATGAAAAATCAGTTAATATATACATAACTTCACTCTAATCTATCATTTGAGTAAGAGAAAAATAGTATTTTCTTCAGATTATTCCCGGAGGCTTAAGATCTGTTTATTATGAAGTCCTAGTTTTTATTACTTCTAAAAACATGAGTGTTGGCTTATTTTTGTATCAAAAAGGTGATTGTCTTCATGTAGTTAAGTCTCTGCATTCTTACCACCTTTATGCCATGCTCCCCAACTCTAGCCTTAGTTTTGCCATAGGACACATGTGCTTACCAGAGAGAGAGCGCGCGAAAGTAAGAAAGCATCCACTTGGGACATGGCCGTGCCTCAGTCCCTTCTCCATCAGTCTTTCAGGATTTGCACCATGCATATGTATCATTTTTCAAGAGCCTGAGACTTGAACCAGGCATTTGGCCTTGTTGGATCCATCTGCTTTAACCACCATACCACCAGCTGGCCCAACAACCCTAGATTTAAGAAGAGTAGGTTCTGGGACCAGCACATGGCATAATGGTTACATTGCTGGATTCCCATGTAGTTGGCTGAGGTTTGAGTCTTGGACCCAGCGTCTTAAAACTCATGCTGGGTGACTTAAAACTCATGCTGTGCATACGTGCCCAAAATTCCAAGATAAGATTGGAAGAGAAGAGATTGCACTGTGGCCATCTCCCCGGGAGTGATTTTTCGCTTTCTATTTGTTTCTTTTTACTTTTTTTTTTTTTTTTTGGAGGGGGGGGTTGAGAGGTTTTTGCTATAGGGCGCATGCGCTTGCCAGAAAGACAGAGACAGAGACAGAAAGCAAGAAATCACCCCCCCAGGGGGATGGCCATGCCGCAATCCCTTCTCCTCCATTCTCTTCTTGGGATCTTGGACACACACGCACACGCGCCCAGTGTGAGTTTAAGCCACCTGGCCCGGGACTCAAACCCCAGTTGATTATATGAGAGTCTAGCGACATATCCATTACACCAACTGCTGGTCCCCCTATTTCCTTGTCTCTCTCTGTTTCTCTGGTGAGCTCACATGTCCTATAGCAAAAATCTCTCTCAAAAAAAAAAGTATAGCCAGTTTATTAATATTTTAGGAACAGCTGATAGGTATGAACATTAAAGTATTTAGACAACTGATCTTGCTGATTTTGCCCTGGGATTAATACAAAACAAGATCTCTAAGAAGCTGAGGGGGTGGAAGAGGCAGTAGATGGCATAATGGTTATATCGCTGGACTCCCACATAGCCAAAAGTGGTTTGAGGCCCAGACCAGGTGGCTTAAAAATCATGCCTGGCACATGTGCATGCATGCCCAAGAACCTGGGAAGAGAATGGAGAAGATGAAATTGTGACATGGCCATTCCCCCCAAGGGGGTGATTTCGCACTTTCCCTCTCACTGTGTCAGTGTATCCCCCAAGCCCTATCCCTAAGTACATGCACCCTAATGCCAAAACCTCTAAAGAAAAGCTGGACTGATGGAGGTGGAAGACAGAGAAGAATGGCTACTAACCTATTGTGTATTTCTCTCTCTTACCTTTTAATGTTTACTTACTAGTCTCATCCCAGGATTATTTTTAAACCACACCCATTAAGGAACATTATTCTTGATAATAGGATTTAAAAAACTTAGAATCTTCAGATAAATTCCCTGGTGGTCTTAGAAGAGGAGAAAAATCCTTGGAAAATATAGGTGGTGTCAGCAGATTATGCACATAGATTAATCCTTAGATTCTTAAGAAAAAAATTAATGAATGGGATCATGCACCTGAGTAACACTTGCTCCCTATTCACCCTTACCTTCCTGAGATAAATGATTAATCATCATGCTTCATTATGTAGAAATAAGAGGGTGAAATGTTAGGTAGACCCTAACATCCCAAATTGGAACTCTTTTTTTTTTGGAGAGGTTTTTCACTATAGGGTGCGTGCGCTCGCCAGACAGACAGAGAGAGACAGAAAGCGAGAAATCACCCCCTGGGGGGATGGTCACGCCGCAATCCCTTCTCCATTCTCCTCTCGGGATCTTGGGCATGCACGCACACGCACCCGGCATGAGTTTTAAGCCACCAGGTCCGGGATGTGAACCGCTGTCGACTATGTGGGAGTCCAGCGACATAACCATTACGCTTAAGAGAGGATTTTGCTGTGGGGCACATGCACTTTCCTGAGAAACAAAGACAAAGCGAGATATCTCCTCCCAGGTGGGGGATGGCTGTGCTGCAGTCTGTTCTCCTCCATTTTCTTCTTAGGGTTTTGCACACCTGGCATGAGTGTCCAGGGCTTGAACCACAGTTGACTGTGTGGGAGTCCAGCAACATAACCATTTCGCCATCTGCTGGTCCCTAACATTGTAACTTTTTTTTTTTTTTTCGAGAGGTTTTTGCTGTAGAGCGTGTGTGCTCACCAGAGAGACAGAAAGTGAAAAATCACCCCCTGGGGGGGGTTTGGCCAGGCTATAATCCCTTCTCTTCTATTCTCCTCTTGGGATCTTGGACACATGTGCACACGCGCCCGGCATGAGTTTAAGCTACCGGTTCCGCAGTCAACTATGTGGGAGTCCAGCGAGATAGCCATTATGCCGACTGCTGGTTCCCATTGTAACACTTAAGTGAATTTTTCTTAGAAATTTTTTACATTTTGATAAGATCTCATTTATGTTATTGGAATTGTACTACATTACAGATATGTTATGGTTTTTTCTTTTTGTTTTTGTTTTTTTTTAAGTCAGACTGCTCTGAAAAGCCAACCATTGTATTTTGTTTTATTTTGTTGTGACGGACTTTTGAAATACAATCCTCTGAAAGTTTGGGGCTCCAAATATACTAACAGTCATTTGCACATATCGCTAAGCTGTTTTATAAAAATGAATAAAATTGATAGATTCTAAGAATGGAGAGCCACAATTTCTTTGATAGGAATAAAAGGAGGAAATATTTGAAAGTAGAAGGAAGGAGTTCTTAACATGATAGTCATGTCATAATTGCCGATGTATCTTATTTTGCCATCATTTGGGCTAATTGTGATATTTGTGAAATAAAGTATATGTCAAAAGCATTACTAGTATTTTGGAATGCTAAAAAGACAAAGCAGTTCACTTTCTGCCTAGTTGTTTTTATTACTGGTAATTACTAGATAAGGATTACTTTATAGCTTCTGGGAATAAATTACAGGTGATATCAGCATCAAGTTAGGTTTTACTATCTCTAACAGGTAGAGTTGGCAGAGATGGTTTGTTTTGCTTTTGCCAGAGTGCACATGCACTTGTTAGAGGGAGAAAGCACCCCTGATAGGGCATGGTCGCACCATGATCCCTTTTTCAGTTCTCCATCCTTTTGGGATTTTACATGGGGATGGGGGCACCCAGCATGTTTGTTAAACTGCCTAGGCTGGGATTTGAACCACAGACAGCCATGTAAGATTCAGCTCCCTAGACTGTTAGACTACAGGGCCAGCCCCAAGTAGGGTTTTATAATTAAAAACCTTAAATACTGTAAATCATATGTATTTGGAAAGGAACAAAATAAATTCCCTTCCTGGAGTATTTAAGGATAGAATACCAGGTCAGACTTTTTTTTTTTTTTAAAGGAAGGACAGCAAGTGGTGTGGTGGTTGCGGTACTGGATTCCCATATGGCCAACCGTGGTTCAAGTCCTAGACCAGGTGGCTTGAAAATCCATCCCAGGAAGAGAATGGAGGAGAAGGGATTGCAGCATGACCATTCCCCCTGGGGGGTGATTTCTCGCTTTCTGTCTCTCTGTCTCCATCTTTCTGGCAAGTATGCATGCCCTATAGCAAAAACCTCTCAAAAAAAAAAAAAAGAAATAAAAGAAGAAATCATCTTCTGTATATATCTAGCCAGGATCAAAATAGAAAGAGTTTCTTACTAATATAGCTATTGGGAAATTAAGTAAAAAATGTGATATTTTCCTGACCTTAAAATTGTACAAAATCTTAAAAGGGTGAGTGGAGGAAGAAATACAAAAATGAGTAAATCATACACCAAAAATGAATTTTTTTTTTAAAGGTTTTTACTATAAGCACATGCACTCGCCGGAAAGACAGAGAGAGACAGAGACAGAAAGCGAGAAATCACCCCCAGGGTGGATGGCCACGCAGCAATCCCTTCTCCTCCATTCTCCTCTGAGGATCTTAGGCACGCACGCACACGCAGCCGGTGTGAGTTTAAGCCACTGGGTCCAGGACTCAAACCACGGTCAACTATGTGGGAGTCCTGCGACATAGCCACTATGCTAACTGCTGGTCCCCACCATAAATGAATTTAAACTTATTTTTAAGAAGTTCTTTTTAGAATTAATTAATTTGTTTCTTTGCTTATAATTTGACCAGAGGACAGAGTGAGATAGAGGGAGAGTGAAAAAACTAGCCTCCATGTCTGGGACTTGAACTGCGGTTGGCCATATGGGAGTCCAGTGTCCTTAACCACCACACCACCTGCCAGCCCCCTAAACTTTTTTTTTTTTTTTTGGAAAGGTTTTTTCTAAAGGGGGGATGCGCCCCCCCACCCACTATAGGGCGCATGCGCTCACCAGACAGACAGAGACAGAGAGACAGAAAGCAAGAAATCATCCCCCAGGGGGGATGGCCACGCCGCAATTCCTTCTCCTCCATTCTCCTCTCGGGATCTTGGGCATGCATGCACACGTGTCCGGCGAACCACAGTTGACTACATGGGAGTCCAGCAACATAGCCATTGTGCTAACTGCTGGTCCCAACTTTTTTTTTTTAAAGAGAGATTTTTTTGCTATAAGGATACATGAGTTCACTGGAGAGACGGAGAGAGATAGAGATTGAAAGTAAGAAATCACCACCCCCCCACCCCAGAGGGGATGGCCACACTGCAATCCCTTCTCCATTTTCCTCTTGGGATTTTAGGCACACACAGACATGTGCCCAGCATGAGTTTGAGCCGCCAGGTCCGGTACTGGAACCGCAGTTGACTCTATGAGTGTCCAGTGACGTAACCATCACACCATCTGCTGGTCCTGAATTTAAACACTTTCATTTAGACCTGACCATTACACCAGGTACTTGGGGTTAACAAATGAAAAAGCTCTTTTCTCCCTCTAGTGGCTTATTTCTCTGTTAACTTCACATTCTCAGTTTGCTTTGTATCTGACCAGTGATTATAGACCAAAACAGACAAACTTAATAGTTCGCAAGATGGTCATTCTTATCATTCATTTCCTTTGTTTTATTTCCTCAGCTGCATTTGGTTGATTTTGGTAACTCAAATATGCCCTGTTAAGAAATTGCCTATCCCAGCCATCGGGATTTCTTATTCAAAAAACATTCATGTCCCAACAGCAACTAAGACAAGAGACCCAGAGAGCTGGAGAGATTGTCAAAACTAGTGATTTGTAAGCAATAATTTACACATTTAAATGAGATCTAAGAACATATTTTTCTAGATCTGTATACTCCTACCTAGACTGATAAGATCAGATCCAGTAAGATATCTTTGAAATCAGCGGAGAGTTAGAAGATATAGTCACTGATTTGGGAACCCAAAGCAACTGCAGTTTCCAGGATTCTTGTATCTGTCTTTAGCAATGAGTGCCGTTTCTCATCATCTTACAGAAACAAGCATGATTTTTTTTTTTTTAACAGGTTTTCGTGGGAACCAGCAGTTAGCGTAATGGCTATGTCGCTGGACTCCCACGTAGTCGACTGCGGTTCGCGTCCTGGACCTGGTGGCTTAGAACTCACGCCGGGCGCGTGTGCGTGCATGCCCAAGATCCCTAGAGGAGAATGGAGGAGAAGGGATTGCGGCGTGACCATCCCCCCTGGGGGTTGATTTCTCACTTTCTGTCTCTCTGTCTGTCTCTGTCTGTCTGGTGAGCGCACGCGCCCTATACCGAAAACCTCTCCAAAAAAAAAAGAGAAAAAAGAGGTTTTCGTTATAGGGCGCATACGCTCAGCAGGCAGACAGAGTGAGACAGAGAGACAGAAAGCAAGAAATCAGCCCCCCCAGGGTGGATGGTCACGCCACAATCCCTTCTCCTCCATTCTCCTCTCAGGATCTTGGGCACACACGCACACGTGCCCGGCGTGAGTTTAAACCACTGGGTCCGGGACTTAAACCACAGTCGGCTACATGGGAGTTCAGTGACATAGCCATTACACTAACTGCTGGTCCCAGCATGATGTTTTTAAGGCTAGCCCCAGAAAGACAAAAATTAACAGTTGTCTAGGGACCAACAGGTGGCATAGTGGCTAAAATGCTAGACTCACAGGACTGACCACAGTTTGAGTCCAGACACAGCGACTTGAAACTCACACCAGCATGGTGCGTGGGTGCCTGCAATCCCAAAAGGAGAGTGTTGAAGGAATTGTGGTTTAGCCATCCACTTTAGGGAGTAATTTCTCACTTTTTTGGTCTCTCTGGCAAGCACACATGTCCAATAGAAAAAATCTCTCTTAAAAAAAAAGTTATCTAGGGGCCAGCAGGTGGCAAGGTCGTCAGGTACACTGGACTCCCACATGGCTGATCACGGTTTGAGTCCTGGACCTGGTTGCTTTCTCACTTTCTGTCTCTCTTGCTCTCTCTCACTCTGTCCCTCTCTGGTCAAATTAAAATTAATTAATTAAATGCAATAATTATTTTTTAAAAAAGTTATCTAATGAAGAGTGATAGAAGCCAGTGTAGGAAACTGAGACTTCAAAGAACTCTTTCTTTTCTTTTTCTTTCTTTTTAAAATTTATTTTATTTATTGTTATTAAAGTTTGCTATAGGACATATGTGCTCACCAGAGACAGAGAGAAAGAGAAACTGAGAGGGACCAGCAGTTAGCGTAATGGCTATGTCGCTGGACTCCCATGTAGTTGACTGCGGCTCAAGTCCTGAACCTGTTGGCTTAAACTCACGCCGGGCACGTGTGCATGCGTGCCCAAGATCCTGAGAGGAGAATGGAGGAGAAGGGATTGCAGCGTGGCCATCCCTCCTGGGGAGTGATTTCTCACTTTCTGTCTCTCTATCTCTCTCTGTCTGTCTGGTGAGTGCACACGCCCTATAGCAAAAACCTCTCCAAAAAAAATAAAAAGAGAGAAACTGAGAAAACAAGACATCAGGTTCGAACTCGAACTGTGGTCAGCCATGTGGGAGTCCTGTGCCTTAACTACCATGCCACTTGCTGGTCCCTAGAACATTTCTTGCTAGAGGATGGTGCCAGATAAAAATCTGGCAAGTAAATGCATGTTCCATAAATTTGGAGTTTTAGTCCTTCCCCAGAAGGCTATAGGCATAAACCTGGCACTCTTTATTCCCTAAGGCACTGACAGTAGTGCCCTCCTTTTGCCTGCTGTTTATTACCTACTCTTGATAGAATTGACTTTGTAGTTGTCACATAACCACTATTCTTTCAAATCCTCAGCCAGGACCATGATGGTGGTGTTAAAATGAGCTGCCTCCTTAGCAAAGTCATCTAAACTGGAGAGGGCAGCTAGGCTGTTCTTCCCCTATAGATCGTGGCATTTTCTTCTTGAGCCTCCATGGAACTATTGGGTCATTGGGAAAGTCATGACTCATTTTTTTCATAGAAAAATACATCATGACTTTCACAACAACCCAATAGCAACAGCTCATGGAGTGTAAAATATAGGAAAATATTAGAATTTTGATTAAAATTCAGTGAGATATTAGACCACTCATCTCTCTCTTTTTTTTAGAGAGAGATTTTTGTTGTAGGGTGTGTATGCTTACCAGAGAGACAGAGAAACAGAAAGTGAGAAATCACCCCCACAGGGGGATGGCCATATCATAATCCCTTCTCCTCTATTCTCCTGTCGAGATCTTGGGCATGCACACACACACACACACACCCAGCATGAGTTTTAAGCAACCAGGGCCGGAACTTGAACCACAGTTGACTACGTGGGAGTCCAGTGACGCAACCATTACACCAACTGCTGGTCCAGAGAACACTCATCTCTTATTCCCATTTCCGAAGCCAGTCATTGCCTTCATATCTTTTTCCCTGCATCCTATGTAAAGAATTTAGGTGGGAGGGGACCCGCAGTTAGTGTAATAGCTATGTCGCTGGACTCCCATGTAGTCAACCGCAGTTCGAGTCCCAGACCCAGTGGCTTAAACTCACGCCGGACGCGTGTACATGCGTGCCCAAGATCCCAAGAGGATAATGGTGGAGAAAGGATTGCGGCGTGGCCATCCCTTCCTGGGCTGGGGGGGGGGGGTGATTTCTCTCTATCTCTGTCTCTGTCTTTCTGGCAAGCGCACATGCCCTATAGTGAAAAACCTCTCAAAAAAAAAAAATGTAGGTGGGACAAGTGTTTTAATGGTTTTTTGCCACCATCTATGTCTTGGTGTCTTTTTTTTTTTTTGGTAGAGGTTTTTGCTATCAGGTGCATGCGCTCACCAGAAAGACAGAAACAGAGAGAAAGCGAGAAATCACCACCCGAGGGGGTTTAAGCCACCGGGTCTGGGACTTAAACCATGGTCATCTACATGGTAGTCCAGCGACATAGCCATTACGCCAACTGCTGGTTGTGTGTTCTTTGATTTGAGGGTCTCTCTTCCTCTAGGTGTATCAGGACAGACCTAAATTCCCTTGAATTTCTTTGTTCAGTGTAGAAAAAATATTTTCTTAATGTTTTTCTTGAATCCTCACTGTTGGAAATACCTTATTTTTTTATTTTCCTATCTAGTGAGCCAGACCGAGGAAGACTAACTCCCTCCCCAGATATCATTGTTTTGTCTGATAATGAGGCTTCCAGTCCCCGTTCCAGCTCCAGAATGGAAGAAAGACTCAAAGCAGCCAACTTAGAGATGTTTAAGGTAAAAAGAAAGAAAAATCTCTTTCTTAATTTAATGTTTCTTATATTTAATTCACTAACAATTTCAGTTCTGTTTTTGACTATTTACTTTTTGTATCTAAATAACTACCCATTCATTAAAAACTCTATAATGATTCTCAATTCAAAGGACACGACCATTTAGAAGAACTATTAGACCTAAGTGGAGAAGTTAGTTTGAAAAGCATGTATATAATCAATTATTTTCAGTACACTTTATTTTTGGAAAATGGAAACTTCATAATTTAGGTCACACAAAGTAAACTTACCTGGAAGGATACCTTCTATACTCTATCCTGAGTCAAAATGTAGAGGGCTACCTAAGTTTTTATGTTTATCTAGAGGAACTATGTGGCTTTTTTTTTTTTTTTTTTTTTTTTTTTTTTTTTTTTTTTGTTG